TTGTGCCAAATACAGCATCTATAATGACCGGGCGTTCTATTCGGGTGAAGAAGGTAGCATCTCAACCCCCTGTTAACTAATTTGACCCCAACCAGTTCTGCCCCAGGCCTTCTTTTTTATTTTATTTTAATCTGACCCCAACCAGTTCTGCCCCCAGGCCTGTGATACCACTGACTCAATATCCGGCTGCATCAGATTCCATCCTTTCTTCAAACGTCCCCTAAATCCACAGATTCTTCAAACGTCCCCTAAATCCACAAAGCCGTTAACAGGTAGTAACCCCCGTAGAGCTTATTATTGTTATTATTATTATTATTATTATTATTATTATTATTATTTTTAATCACAAGACTCCCATCCCACCAGTCCTCTCAATATATCTCCTGGTGCACCCCCACTCCATTACTACGGGCAGTGTGGCTGTGTAGGATGAGTGTGGTTGGGTACACCATGTCACGGGATCTCCGTGCTGGGGTGAAGTGCTCATCTTGGGGCTTCACTTTCACCCTAGTCCACTAGCCTCATGGTTAGGTGTTAGCCTGCCAAGCCATTGGTTGTGTGTTCTTGTATTCGACATCACCCCCCGAACTTTTCAGCCCTGTCCACTCTCTGGACTGGTACCAAGCCACTCGGTCGCTTGTTATTATAATGACCACTGAAACTTTTGGGCTCTGTTAACCCCTTCTCCCTAACCCATACCAATGCATATCCACCAAGGCAAGCTCCGAGTCCAATCGAGACTCTCAAGTTGGGACCTTTTGCCACCACTGCCTCACAAGAGTCACAACTTTTTTTTTTTTCCTTTTTTTATATAAGAATTTACGAAATATCTTTGGAAAAAATCTAAGGATTAGAGTTACCAGGTTTTTTTTTTTTTTTTTTTTTTTTTTTTTTTTTTTTTTAAGAATTTACGAAATATGTTTGGAAAAAAACAAAAAAGGATTAGAGTTCCCAGGCCAGAACAAACCATCTGCTCACAGAAGCTCACTTTTTTTGTAGGTCCGGAGCAATTGGTACAAGGCATCCTATCTACAAGGAGCCTCTTGGCACTTGCCACCACCGCGCCTGACAGTGTGTGAGAATCACGACCTGACCAGATCCGTAGTGGGGCCGGTTTGTCGTACTGTGGGGTGGGGTCAGCCTGGTCAGGTGATGATTCTGACGGGGGCAGGGTAGTGGCAAGAGATTGCTAATCTACAGAGACTGGTAGTTAGGGTGACCTGTAGATGTTACTCGTAGTCTCGTACGTCAGGAATTGTCAATGAGAATTCAGGTAAGTGGGACTTAGCGCCAGTATAATTATATTCTACGGGCAGAGACGTGGCCCTTTGAAGCTTTGACTAAACAAATAAATAATGAGATAAAACAGGTAGATCCAGAGGTACAAATGAATGCATGAATGGGTAAGTGAATGCATGAATGAACAAAAGAATGAATAAAGGCAGAACCAGGAGGACAAAAAGATGGAAGCAGTAAGGGAGTGAAGGAGAAATGGAGAGAGGGAGAGAGGGAGAAATGGAGAGAGGGAGAGAGGGAGAGAGGGAGAAATGGAGAGAGGGAGAGAGGGAGAGAGGGAGAGAGGGAGGGAGAGAGAGAGAGAGAGAGAGAGGTGCTGGGGAGGAACTGAGATGGGAAGTGCAGAACTGAAGGATCAAGAGGGGGAGGAATGACAGCGAGAATCCTCTCTCTCTCTCTCTCTCTCTCTCTCTCTCTCTCTCTCTCTCTCTCTCTCTCCCCTACATATGCTTGATGTTCATATTTCACCCCTCTGCATCTAGACCTGTCCCACTCACTCTCACTCCAGCTTTTTGGCACAGTGACTCCTGTGCAACACCCAACACCAACTGTTACGGGCTGTTTTTTTTTTGTTTTTTTTTTTTAACCGGCTGTTGTATTCGTTTGTGTCGTTAACGACGTCAAATATTTGGAAAGTTAACGGAATTCTGTACTATAATAATGATACAGACAAGCGCAAATTGTGACTACATCCGACCTTATAACCTTGAACATAACTCCAAAATGTCATCATGAATGCATCCAGACTCTATCCTGGTGAAGTACAATTAAAATGATAATAATAATAGGGATAGGGACCATAAGGTAGAGTCGTCGAGCTTCGAGTTTGTTAAGGACTTGAATACCGTTGTCAAGATGGAAATCTTGTACAAGCTGCATTCCTGTCTCTTATACACATCTAGATGTGTATAAGAGACAGCATCCGACCTTATAACCTTGAACATAACTCCAAAATGTCATCATGAATGCATCCAGACTCTATCCTGGTGAAGTACAATTAAAATGATAATAATAATAGGGATAGGGACCATAAGGTAGAGTCGTCGAGCTTCGAGTTTGTTAAGGACTTGAATACCGTTGTCAAGATGGAAATCTTGTACAAGCTGCATTCAGATGCTTGGACCAAATTCCCTCCTAACAAAGTGGAGGAGTTTTTTTTAACGTAATGGATAGTGTGCAGAAGCAGGACCTGGTGCATGTGTGTGACGAGTTTGATATAAATTAATGATGATGCTGCATGCATTGTGCAAAGCCTCAAAGGCCTAGTACAATCTGGATTGCAGGCTCAAAAGTGTTCGCTGGTGCTCAATCTACGACCTGTCAGGATGTTCCTGGCCGGCTTTACGACCAAGATTCCTCCTGGGTTAAGTCCTGGTGTAGCAATCCCCTCAGGTCTCAGTGGGCAGAATACGCACCAGTGCAGCCCATGGATTGGCCGGCATGTAGTAGGCTACATTCAGAACTACTTCCGCCACTGACGGCATTACATTCGCGGCCAGCCAGAGGAAATAGGGCTGTGAAACTGCCATCAGCATAGCATCCTGCTCAGAGTCTGATGCCCACTTGAGTGACTTGACTGATGATGGTGCTCCTGATACCTGTTCAATTACATGTATTCATTTTCAAATGAGCAACACCATCGCCCATACCAGTTAAGATCAACAGTGTTATGGACAAAGGCCATTTTCACCTCTTGTTATTGTTTCACTTTTGAAACACAGACGGACACACACACACACACACACACACACACACACACACACGCACACACACACACACACACACACACACACACACACACACACACACACACAGAGGTGACAGGGGTACCCCGAAGAAAAGCAAATGTGAACACATTCAAGAAACTTAAGGGGGTTACATGCTTCTATTGTACTTCATGTTGCTTGCTATAGAAGTGAAACTGTTTCATGGTTGGGTTGTCTGAACTCAAGGGCTTTCGTTGTCTGTAATAGGATTGAAAATGCTTTGATTTTGGATCTGCTCATCTGGGTGGAATAGGGGCTGTTGTGGTGAAAATTCAAAACACACACACACACACACACACACACAGAGTACAATGGATGACTTGGTTGCCACTGAAAAAGAAGAACAAGGAGAAGAACAATTATTGACAGTGGAGGCCTGCGGTACTGACTACTGGGCTCTGGGATCACTTATTTTCTTCCGCCCTTCCCGAACACCCAATCCAACTCTTCCTATTGACTAACCTTCCTACACACTTCAGCACATTGGAACCCATCTGGTTTGGCATTAAAAAAGAAAACAACGGCGGATGCGGCATGTTTTGAGTTCGCAAAGGCAGAAAAGAACAGGCAGTTGGCAACTTTGTCATGGCATGAGTTCGAAAAGGCGGTTAGGTGTGAGGGTGGCAGTTTCGTAAAGGCGGCTGTTTTTTTTTTTGCGAGATGTCCATGTGGCCACGGCCTCGATGTCTAGGCCACGCCCGCTATGTCTCGGCCACGCCCGCTATGTCTCGGCCACACCCGCGGCTGGGCCACAGCCGTGATGTCAAGGCCACGCCCGCAGCTGGCCATGGCCGTGATGGGCCACAGTAGTGGGGAAAAAAAAAAA